CCTGAAAAAGTATAGCATAAACCAGCACTTCTGAAAAATCTGAACTTCCACCATTGGCAAGAAACATAAAATTTTTGGTGGTTGGTAGTTAGCCCAAAAGTGCAGATGACTAACACTATTATAGAATGATGATTCTTAAGTAGAGTAATCCCAAACAAGCACTTTTGTCAAACTACCAGATAGACATATGAGTCGGTGCTTATATTGATGACTAACAAGTTCCCTCGTGCGCAGGTTCATTTTGACAAAAAACGGATTAAGCACGGATTTTCTATAATTCGTGCTGCAACTTTACTACTAGAAATTGAGCAGCAGTTAGGATGTGAAATCGAGGCATCTGCCTCTTATACCATGTAAAATTAATTGATTGTATCAATATGCTAAAAGTTTAAGCTAATAGGAGATTATCCAATGTATATTTATATACAAGTGAGTACTTGGTAGCTAAAGATGCTAAGAGCAATCCACTATATGGTTACTAGTGAGGCATGATGTATTGATGCATACATGTTAATCTACAATTTCCCATATTTGGCTTACATGAAATAATGTAAAAAACTAGGATGTCATATTTACACGCTCTGAGATCTCAAGATTATATATATATAAATCTGAAAAACATGATATCAAGACCTCAATAACAGTACCGGGTTATTAAAAGTTTCAATAGGTAATTATTTCAATTTCTTGGCATGGTATAGAGTAGCCAGGAGTACATGGAATTGCATAAATGATGAGTCTTTGCTACTAACCCATGAAACAAGGACATGTTCCCCAGGAGGACGCTTAGTATCAACTGGTGTACGCCCAGTTAAGAGCTGCAGAAGAACCACTCCGTAACTGTAAACATCTGATTTCGTTGTAAGTTTTCCGGTTGAAGCATACCTACAATACCAAAGAAATGGTTATAGAAGTACTTTCTCCATTGTTCCAAGTTAAACTAAGAACTGCTACTACAGAAATTTGGCATCTCAAGATTATTGTCTTATGCTCACTTGAGCCAAGAAAAAAAGAATATATTCAGAAGATTTTAGAATATAACTTTAGGGATTTCAAAAGAAGAAAAATATTAACTTTAGGGATATAGTTCATCCTTTTCATTTTAACCTGATAGTTAGATGTGAAAAAGTACGTTGTCTGAAATATGTTTTTATGAAATGAGTGCTGAAGAAAAGTATCAGTCATCATAAATGCTTAAGAATTAATGTCAACTTAAACTTTGACGATATTTAATGTGAAATAAAGGCAGTATCCAAATGGGTCTTCCATGGTATGGGATTATTGATTAAGAAAATGACAGAATGCCCAATGGCTAACGGGGACCTTCCCTAACCCCCCCATGTGCATTTGCTTCTGTAGTTTCTGCAATATTTGCTCACCGGATAGCGAAGTACTACTAATGGAAACAGACAAATGAACAAAAAGAAGGATGATGGAGCACTCACTCTGGGGCCAAGTATCCGGTGGTCCCCATCACACGTGTAGAAATCTGACCGTTGATCTTGTCTGATCCCATCTTAGCCAATCCAAAATCAGACACCTTGGCACGAAAGTTTTGATCCAGCAGAACACTGGTGCACCTGAAGTCACGGTGAATCACCGTTGGAGTTGCATACTCGTGGAGGAACTCGAGTGCCCGAGCACAATCGAGGGCGATCCTCAATCGGGTTCCCCAATCCAACAGCCTGTATTGATTGTCGGGTTGGTGGAGATGGTGATGGAGAGTACCGTTAGGCATGAATTCAAAAATAAGGAGTCTGTGGTTTTGGTCAGCACAGTAGCCAAGTAGCTCCACCAAGTAAGGAGAATGCAGACGGCTTAGTAGATCAACCTGCAATAAAGATAAAGGCTGTTGCTTTGTCAAACCCATGTAGAGAAAATTGAATGCAATTCATGAATGGTGGAAGAAATTGTGAGTGATTGCACCACTAGTATAGAAATATAGTGCTAAGCATTGACTTTTTAATTATTGATTAGGAATTAAGTTAAGATGGTTTGACTTACAAATCCAACTTTTTGATAGTTGATGCACACTTTATGATGATGTACGCCACTTGAAAACATTACAAATGCTATTTCGACCGGTAAACACTAGCTTAATTTGCGGAAAAGTGTAGTGGAATTTTATCAAATAACTAAAATACAGTGAAATGCATAATTTAATTTAAACTCACAATTTTATAAAAAAAAAAGGTAGAAATACAAATCATGTAACTAATAAATAGATAGTAAAAAAGAGTAAGTAAAATTTCATTTCAAATTCTTGTGCACAATTAACTGCTAAATTATAGTTGAATTTTGCTTTTTTCTTTTTCAGTTCTTATAATTTTAGTCCATGATGTCTAAATTCTTCTAGAGAACTAATATTTTATTTTTTTGCAACAAATTATTTTTGTTGACACAGTATATTTCTTATTATCCACTAGTAAACTCGTAAAATTTTACGTCATGATTTTTGTTTGTCACCCTAAATTTTCTTCTAATAACCAAAAAAACTTACATTAATATATACCCATTTTATGAAATAATTCGTTCGTAAAAACAATTTCTTTAACATATATATAAAATAATTCTCCAATGTTTATGCAATACCCATCATGGATTTTTGTCACTAACAGTAAATATAAGTAAAATCAAATTGCCATTAACCTTCGACTACAGTAAATAAATCCAAGTTTGACAGGTTGAGAAGATAAAAGAGAAGAGCAAATAGAGACAAAAAGTCAATAAATGAAGTCACTGACCTCCATCCTGAAAGCACGCTCTCCTTGCTTTCCATCTCTGTGCAGTCTCTTAATCGCCGCAACAGTCCCATCACTCAGCACTCCTCTGTAAAACACACCAAACCCTCCATTTCCGATCACATTCGCTTCACTAAACCTCTCCGTCGCCGCTTCCAGTTCCCTGTACGTGAAAACCTGGACTCCTCTGTATTTTTCGGCCGGATCTCCACGGCTCAGATTCGCCCCATATAAGCACCCTCCCTTCACATCTGCCATTGTTTTCAACCAATCCTCAAATCCCAGATCAAATACACCAATTTATGTGCAGGAAATTTATGGGAAAAAAGAACAAAAGAAAAAAACACAAGTTAACTGTTTCGACAAGAAAGAAAATGTCAATTGGCGTAGGATTTTATCATTTATTATTTATTATCTCTATTGGGTTTCAAGTTTGAGTGGAATCCGGAAGTGGGTAGTGTTTACCTGGACTGGAGGTGAAGTCTATGGTGGTACGATGAGCAACGAACCTGGTACTATTGTTGCGGAGACTGCCGCCACTGTCATCTTTGCAGCTGGCTCTGTTTCTCGCGGATTTGAGCCGACGGAGCATGAGTACGATTACAAAAATAGCCAAGAGGACGACGATGGAGACGATGGAGATGACAATGATGATGACTGAATTCAAAGCCAAATTAATGCCAGCGCTCTGGCGGTTGCCCTGCGGAGGAGACAAGGAATAATAATGGTGGCTCTGGTTCTGATCATGGGTATGGTTCCGTGCAGGAATGGTGCTAGTTTCCATGGAAGAAAAAGAAAGAGTGAAGAATCCAAAGAAAGAGATAAAGAGGGTTGCAGGGAGATGGTTTTACGGGAAATGCAAAGCGAGGAAGAAGACGAGGAATAGGAGAAATATAGAGTTTCCCATACTAGGAGGGCACACATATAATTTGCTCGATTGTGTGTGTGTGTGTGTGTGTGTGTGGCTACTACAAAAAGAACACACAGTTTCTTTATTCATTTTGTAGGTCAACAAAGATTTTTCATTCAACTTTTTTTATTAAAATCGAGTAAATTTTCTTATTAATAAATAAAAACAAAAGAAATAAAACAAAATATTTTTATTAGCAACATCGGTATAATTAATTGGAAAAATGTCTAATCACGTAATTCTTATAATATATGAAAATTATATTAATTATAGAACAAATTATATTTATTTATTTTTTTATAATATTTAAATTAATTATATTTTAATAATTTTATTACATATATATTTTTTTTTTAAAAAAAATTTTTAAAATTAAAAAGAAAAAAAATGAGTCATGTACTTTGTTCGTCCCTTGCTTTGTATTTTGTAAGGAATGGTCTTTGTCTCTGTATCAGAGAGAAAGATCGGCAGCTTTTGCAAATTTTCAACATCTGTCGCAATATACCATATCAATGTACCATCCAATTTTACCCTTCTCTTCTTTTTTTGATTTTATTACAAGGAAAATTTACCAATTTACTACTCTAGTTATTTTTCAATTATATAATTATTATATATATATGTATATTTTTTTTAACCCTCAAAATATTTGATTTGACTCAAATTATTGGTATTAAAAAAGTAAATCTACATTCACATTATTATCCCTTAATTGATAATAAATTATAATTAATATATATATATATATATATCACTTAATTGATAACTCAAAAAAAAAAAAAAAAAAAAAACTAAAGAGAGAGTATGGAGAGGAGGTTATATAGTAGCTAGTGGTAGGACCCGCGATAGGATATCCCTACCAAACATAAAAACCATTTAAAGCCTACGAAGATCACGTGCCTTGAGTTTCTAGCCAGCCCGCCGCCCCCACCAACCCACAAGTCAAAATCCCATTTCTCTAAACTAACATATAATCCATGCGCCTTGCTTCTCTCGTTTCTCAACCCAACGCCTCATGTTGATCCTTACTTTCTGGGCTTCGGTCTACGTACTCTAATTGCTCTCTGTTGCCTCAAATTTTAATGGGTTGAGAACGAAAGAATCTAATAGGTTATACAACCCAAGTTTTGAGAGAAAAAAAAAAAAGACAAGGACTGTTGCCCCTAATTACTAGTCTCCTACGATTCTCACTATAATTTACTGGATAACAAGTTGTATGAACCTAAGGTGTCGTCCCGACACTTTCTCATTTGATGACCCCGAATAATTTCGAGCAGTGCATTGATAAATTACAACACAATAATTATAAGTTTTATTTTATAAGACAAACAACAACAAAAAAATTCGTTTAAATGAAGATAATAACCGGAGCAATGTTTCTTGCAGCAAAGGTGGAGAATGAGTCGATATAAAAAGAAAATGTTCGTTTAAATGAAGAAACGTGAATGAGATAGGAACGAAGAAGATTGGACATCTAAGAATTTAAGGGTAAGAAACGTGAGAAATTTTATATCTACCATAAATTATTATAGTGCTAAATTAACAAATTCTACTCTTTTTAGTAACTAACCGCTGAGAGTGACTTGCCATATTGAGCTGCCACAAGAGAGTAGAACATCACAATCTACATGAGTTGGGGCATTTGTCTCTTGCATCCTCTCTCTCTCTCTCTCGCCTCTGAGCATGTGTGATTGAGAGGGGCTCATCATCTGCAAGTCATGCTATTCATATGGCCATCAGATTTTGGTTCCATGTTAACTCTAGTTCCAGAACAGGATAAGAATCGAATTCAAGTAGGCCCCAACTACAAATCAATCTTGTTATATATACCCTATATAATGTACAATAAGATAGAATTACATTACAATCTCACTGTCATTCAAGTCTCCAAATCACGTGATCTTCACCCACCCACAAAAGCAAAAAAACACCATTTGCTTTATGGACCTTAAGCATTCTTAATACATTCCAGAGAGAGTTCTGCTGGTTTGTTCACCGGAATTGGGAGATTTCTGGTGACTAATTACGGGAAAGAAATACAGATTTCTCGCTAATTATACTTATTTTATAGCTATTAGTCTCCCAAAACACTCCACAAAGAAGCTTTCTGAATTTCGCGTGCACTATAAATACATAGTAATCTCACAATTATGTAAAACGTTAAAAAAAAAAAAATTAATTCACGTATGTCGGTCGTGTTAAGAATGTAATTTCCCGTTCCTACTCTTACCTAAAATAACACTTCTTTTTTTGACTTCATGCGAATGTCAAAGGACAAACGGATAAGATTTACCAACTCACTTCATTTGAAAAAAAAAATGAAACAAACCAACACACTTAATCTTATAAAACAAAAGAGAAGTAGCTAACCCGAAATTATGCTTGGTACCTAAACATCATGTTCTTTTATAACATGGGCAAAAGGTAACTCAAATGGAACAGAACAATCTATTAGAAAACAAGCTACATAACATGAAATTCAAACTAAAACAATAATAATATTGTATAAGCTTATACTATTCTTTTCAATTTCGGCTTTTGTTTTGTTTTTTCGTTTTTAAACTTTTTAATGGGCTTTCTTATAAAGCTGTGCTTTTTTATATTGAACTTTTTTCATGGATCAATTTGTTTTTTACTTTGGGTTTAACACTAAAATTCATTGAGTTTAAAAAATGAGTTTAACCCCCATTAAGAAAAGTTTTATTAGGTCTGAATTTGGAACAATTTCCTAATAGTTTATACTATTACAAATAACATTCTAAGATATTCATATTTTGACCATATACTTATTTTCTCCTTCTGGGTTGTACTCGAAAAGATTCACCAAATCAGGATTTACTTCTCATTTCAACATAATATCATTGTGTGATAAATTTTTATGCACCTCTCTGCCTGGATAAGATATATAGATTAAGAAATTCCCAGTAATAGGCTAGCCTTTAGTAAATTGACGTAAAGAATCATGAATGACATCGAAATTTGATACTTAAACTACTTAATAATAACAAAGTATACAGATTGAAACTTTAGTGCCATTATTTTTTTCCAACTATAATATACACATATACATACATTATATGCATACGTGTATATATATTCAGGAAACTTGTATATATCCAGAAGTATGAAAACGACACGCAAAGGGAACAAATGCTTAATCAGAACAAATAGACGAAAATGGCACCTTTGTGTTTTAAAAATATGATAAATATTCTAAGTGGCAAATTTCTTTTTTCAAAGTAGAAAATTTGAGGTTGCATACAAAACTTAATTATGAGTTATATAGTCTTGATGCCAAATGCGTCCACTAACCCTTAAAAAAATTCATTTTTACGGGGAAAAAAATGCAAATTAATCATATAGTTCTTCTAAATGGTAAGCCCAAAGAAAATTAAGTTATTATCTTATTATGCTGTTTGCTTTAAACTAAGCACGAAAAAAAAATCGACAGAGAATTTTATTGAGAAGGAATCAATTGTGCGATTATTCTCTTTAAATTATGCAATGAGCCATTGGCTTGGAGTTGGAAGTTGCAAGAGGGGTTGGCCGAAGAAGTATAATAAATGTTCCATCTAAATAAAGCTGGCTGTAATGAAAGTATATAGAGAATTAACAAAATAGCTCTTATCTTTTTATTTAATACACATACTATGCATTTTTTTTAAGTAAAAAAAACATAAAACCCCTATTTTTTCTAGTGTCTATTAGTTCAAAAGCCTATAATTTTTAATCCCCTTATTTACAACTTGTAACTTATTTTTAATTTCGTGTAAAACGGGCTGAAAATATTATATCTATATTATACAAGAAATACATACAATATCACATGACTTTCACAACCTTTCACACCAGTTAATAAACTACCATTAGTTAAAAGACTTGTGATTTAAGTTAATTAAAATAAGATTGTAATTATAAAGTTAATTATAAAGCATAAAAACTTAAGGTGCAATTTTCTATTAAATTTATAAATATATAAATGTTCATGTATTTATAAAACATAAAAATTCAAGGTAAAGTTTTCTTCACACTTGTAAATAACAATTTAAAAAAATACATGCTCCATTTTAGAAATCAAAAGCACACGAGATTACAGTGAATTTAATAAAAAAAGTTGCAGACAATATGTCATGATTCTTTCCATCAAAGAAGCAATTATTAACTCTCTACAATGCCGAAGTGTCATAAAGCTAATGCAATTTTTTGTATTATCTATTTTGACTTGTTTATAGTTTTCGTTTAGGTCAGATTCAATCATCATTGTAACAATTCCGATAATCAGGGCAGGGGGGAAGAGGTAATACATGTACAGGAGTATAGAGTTTAAATATCTTGCATTAAAGAAATGAAAAGGCACAATACAGTCATTATTGTAGAAACCAATATCAAATCCGTATATTATTATTATTATATTTTAAAGCTTATATACCTTGTTCAGAATTACGTAAAGTAAAAATTTTAGATTATTTAGGGAATTATGATAACACAGCTGGCTTGTATATTCAGCCAGCTCTATCTGTATCTGTATCTGAATTTTCTCTATCAGAAAACCAGAAAAATGGGGCACTCCTTAAGCAAATTTAGAAGAAGACATCATAACCATCATAACTCACCTCTTCCTTCTATACCAGAAAACCCAATTCCCTCTAATTCTTCTTCTTCAACAAATCCAACAGCAGTTTCCATGACTAGTAGTAGTATTAACATTGCCAACACTCGTTATGGCAGTCCTCAAAATAATCCAATTCGTCCGATTTTAGCTAATGCATCGTCATCATTATCACCAGAAACACAAACTCCTCCCTCTAGTTCCTACAATACCCATATCAACAGTTCCCTCAACTACGCTCCTCCCGTTGGCGGTTACTCCAGCTACCGCCCCTACCATGATCATCAGCCCAGAAGGGGGATCCCTTCTCAGCAGCAAACAGTGCTTCCGGTAATTGCTCCACCCCCTTACGTGGATCACAATAGTACCAAGAAGATCAATAGCAATGTGAACGTGCACAAGGATACCATCACCCTTGTTTTAGATGAGAACAATTTGGATTGCCATTTGGTTTCTTTCACTTTTGATGCTCTTGTTGACGGCAGGTCTGTATTGTTTTTTTCATTTTTGTGTTGTTTCCAATTGTTCGTCCTGCTTTTTTGGTACCTTAAGTGAATTTTGGGAACTCAACTGGGGACATGAGAATTATCTTGAAGAATTGAATCATATTTTTCTAAACTATCTTTATTGTGTTCATTATTGTGAAGTTTAATTTTTTGTGCTGCAGTTTTCTTCCTCCAAGTAGATAGATGATTGTTGGCTGAGACATGAGTATAGCAAGTAGTCTTTTACTTTTCAGGAAATTATGTACAATTATGTAAAATGATATGTTAAAGTTTGAAGAGTGAGGTAGTGTTGAAATGCTCTTCAAGATGGAGACAAACAGCTTTAAAAAATCCGGAATAAATAAGATAATGAAACTACAGATACTAAAGCCACTTAACCTAAGCCAAGAAACATCATAAAGATTAGGAAACAGTAAGACCTTCATATTTTTCTAAGGACAAGGTACTCTACAAATCTAGTACAAAATGATGGGTACTGTCTAATCAGACAAGTTTTAAACAGTAAATCAGATTTCTTTGGCAAATTATGACATCTTCATTTGGGACTGGTTCAGGCAATTGTCTAATAATAAGTAAATTATCAATTTTGCTCTATAAATTATCAAGATTCATTTTGGGACTAAATTATGGTGTTCTGTAAAGTATCTAGAATGAAGTGCCAGGTAGTAGCCTATAATCAGATATCAGTTGTTTTTTCTGGAGTTTCAGGAAGAAAAGGCAGATTTACCATGACAGTAATGCAAGGTTGTTTGGAGCAGGTCATCAGATGTTACTTAGCGCTTTTTTTGCTGGTCTTTCTTGTTTGGTGTTTCCTCTGCAGATTTCAATTGCTCATCTTTCAATTTTCTAGTATTTCTTATTAAATCGTGATTTATTTTTACTAGCTAACTATGCATCAACTGTAGGACTAGTTAATGCTGATCTATATGACAGATTTCCCGTTTTCCTTTAATTTAATCACAGTATCACCATTCTATACTTCGCCAAAGAAGATACAGACTGTATGTTAACCCCACTCTACCCTGAAATCTATACACCAAGACGAATTCCTTTCCATAAAGGATTGGGCCAGAAATTCTCTCAGCCCTCAGGAACTGGCATTGACCTGGGTTTCTTTGAATTGGATGACCTATCAAAACCATTCCCAAAAGAAGACAGTTTCCCCCTTGTCATATTTGCAGAAACATGCTTTCCACTGAATGTGGGATTGGATCAATCCCCAAGAACAAATGCACAAATCACTGAAGCGGTTATAGAGAAGAATAATGAAGGCCAGTTTCAAGTAAAAGTTATCAAGCAGATACTGTGGATAGATGAAGTTCGCTACGAACTACATGAGATTTATGGAATTGGAAATCCAAAAGAAGCTGATCCCAGTGATAGTGATACTGGGAAGGAATGTGTTATTTGCTTGGCAGAGCCAAAGGACACGGCAGTTTTGCCTTGTAGACATATGGTGAGAACCCTGATTTTGTGCCCACTTAATTTCTTCAATTTTTTCTATATAAAATTTTAAGGTGTAAGCTGGCGCTAATAGTTGGTCTTACAGCAGCAAAGCAGACCTCATTTGTTTATATGGCCTAGGAGTCAAGCTTGAAGATTTAACTTTTGGCCTCATTAGGATGTCCAATCAATTTAGGTTTTTGAACAGATAGTTAACAAAGAATTGAACCAAACAATAGCTCTAAACTGTGTGATAGAACTGAACATGGAAATTCTCTCTGGCATGTTGTTAAACCGAAATAATGATAGTCGCCGAAAAGGAAATTTTACCAGAAATCTTGTGCTAAAACCATGTTTTTTCCAGTTCGCAGACATTTTTCTCATTCCATCTTCCTTTCTAACTCTAAAAATTAATTTGCTTCATGTATCTGAGTATTGGTTTCCATTTTCCAGTGTATGTGCAGTAAGTGTGCAAAAGAATTAAGGCTTCTATCGAAGAAGTGTCCCATATGTCGCCAGCCCATCCAAGAACTTATAGAGATAAAGGTTATGGAAGGTGAGAAGGGAGAGTCCATTTTCCACATAGGACTTTCCAGTAGCATCCATTCTTCACATTTTAAATGATTGTTCCAATTTCTACACGTGCAAAAGTTTTCTCTTTAAGAAACAAGCATCTCTTTTGCCTACACGCTACTCATTTCTGTTTGCAGAATCATTCTAACCTACTTGAATAACCTGCAGAACTTGTTCATGCTGATAGTTAACAAAGGCTATTTGCATAGCACGGGTGCGCCTCTAGTTGGTTGTTTGTTGGAAAAGTTTTGGACTGTTGGAGATTGGTTTGTGTATATCCAGTGGAAGCTGATATAACAATATAGTTTTGTTCATATTCTTGTCTATATCTGAAATGTCCCATCGAGTTTTCATAATACTAGGGGCAGCTACGTATATTGATGAAGAAAGTACCTTTGCTTTCATTCTTCATTCTTTGTTTATGCCAAGTATGTAAAGTTTTTAGAAGAACTGTTTGATATTTGTTTTTCTGGTTTTCCTTTCCTCTGTTAAATTTAGACCTCACCGTGCTAACCCAAACAACTTGTCCCAATCCTATCAGAAACTTCCACAACTAAAACAATAATCAATATTTAGTTGCAATTTCCTATCGAATAATCTAAACAGCAGCAATAGAAGACATTAACCTACGTTTTGCGAATTTCACCGCAAGTCTCGATTGAAAGAAAAAACATACAAACGATATTGAAAAACCAGAAGAAAATGAAACCGAAAGGGGAAAATAATCAATCACTCAAATATAATTCTGCAGACTCTAATGACAACACAGTTAAAAAGGGAAGAGTAATCAGAACTAACCAGATTGCAAGTTTAATTCCGAGCCAAGGCAGCCGTAGATTTGAACTCCTAAGCTGAGTGTGATTCGCCATTTTTTCTCTGTACACAAATCGCACGATTTCTCTCATTTTGCTTCCCGTCTTTTACGCTCCCGAGCTCTTTCTTTCATCGTCTCCGATCGCATGGGCTCGGTGCTCTGCTCAGTCTATTTATCCGATAGTTCCCTGGTTTATGAATTATTTTGTTTCCCTCTCTTTCTTTGCCTCCAATTCTAACCTTTTATAATTTCAAAATAAAATGTAAATTTCGAAAAATTCCAAAATTAGAAAATTCTAGAAATAAATCATATTAGTTAAAATAAAATTATTGGTAAATAAAATACTTGTAATAATTAAAAATAATAATAATAATAATCTATAATTAAAATGATAATTAATAATAATAAAATAATCTCAACAAATTAATGTTAATAAACTAACATCAATTTATATGTCAAGTAGTATAATTCCCACATTATGATTTTTTTCATGTGATTTTTTAATTTCAATCTTCATAATTTGTTTTGCACTAAATTATAA